TTTCGCCCAAGACACGTAAAGGGGGATTTGATTTTAAATTTCCTTTAACCACCGGGGGGGAAAGGGGGGGTTAACGGTTTTTAGGGGTTTTCCCCTTTACAGAAATTTAAGATAATTGAACCCAGCAAATTTTATCTAAGTCAGTTCGTGGGGTTTTACTATTTGACTGAAAAAAAATTAAAAGAATTCTTTTATAATTATTTACCTTGGAAAAAAAGGTAATGACAAGGGGAGGTAAGCTTTGGGAAAGTGGGCACTTTTGTTGTTACAGGGGTAACAGGTGTTTTAAACCCTAGTTACAGTAGTTTTCTGTGACAGAGTTTTGCGGGGGGAATGCCTTTACTCCTTCCGCCTTAAATTGGGTTTATTACTAAAAGTATCCAAAACATTTTTTAAATTTTATCCCCAGATGGATCTGATTCCAAAAAATTCCTTTTTCATAATGTGTATAGCTGAATTAATTATTTTCAGACGTTTTGTAAAATAATTCAAATTTGAACCCCAAGATATCAAAATCTATGTTTGTATCTTGAGTTAATTTCCCATACAGACTGAAATTAATTTTTAAAATTTTGTAATCTTTGTCTGAAAAAACTGAAAACTGAGTTTTCAAAAAAGTATTTTAATGGTAAACTGAAAATTCTTGCAAACCCCACTTAGAGTGTTTAAAAAACACTGTACTGGGTATAAACAGCTGAGTTTTTGTTATGCTTTAAATCAGCAAAATCGAAAACGGGGCACTACTGACCCACTAAGCTTTAAATTCGGGTCAATTTACCATGAAGGGGACCCGAGTACATATAGCTGGTGTTTATGGCTTGAGTTTTCTGTGTCAGCCTGACAACGATGATTAATCGTAAATAACGTTATGCACTTCATTCACTATACACTATAAATGTCACTGTATAACTGTAAATCACACGTGAATATTACTTACACATATATAAATGTCACTGTTAATATATGTATATGAAAGCTTACATTTATATATAGTTACCTTTAATACAACAGGTATATCTATAAGAAACAAATAAACACAATCTTGTCTCTTAATCTCTGTCTATAAACATTATAAACACTATGTGTTTATACACTCAAACAAACTGAACATCAGTTGGGTTGCTGCTGTCGTCAGCGTTTCTCGAGCTGGAGCAGTAGATGCCGTGTGTCATCCCCCATTTTCTTGTTGGGTGAGTCACCCAGCTCCCGTTTTCTTTGGGTGAACGCTGGGTGAGCGCCCGTTTTCTTTTGGCTGCTCATTCTCTGTGATTGAGCCTGGAGGGACTCACATAAGATAAGATTTCGTTCGGATTTTTAACCCCGGAGGGTTAGCCACCCAGGATAACCCAAGAAAGTCAGTGCATCATCGAGGACTGTCTAACTTATTTCCATTGGGGTCCTTAGTCTTGTCCCCCAGGATGCGACCCACACCAGTCGACTAACACCCAGGTACCTATTTGCTGCTAGGTGAACAGGACAACAGGTGTAAGGAAACGTGTCGAAATGTTTCCACCCGCCGGGAATCGAACCCGGGCCCTCCGTGTGTGAAGCGGGAGCTTTAGCCACCAGGCCACCGGGCCTGGTTATATTGATTATATTGTAAAACACTAGTTTTACAGCTTTTTTCGAAAGACCTTGGCTCGTAGGTTATTTGTACACTGTAGTACAACATATCTGGACCACAGTTTGGCCTTTATCCGGTTCGAGCATGACCAAAATGTTGAGAAATGGTTTACCACCTAAGTTTAAAAATAGAGAAAACTTAGCTTAGAAAGACAGCTCATCGCCTGCACAGCCACCCCTGCAGACGAGGTCTTCAGAAGCTGTATCATCCATTTCGCAATGGGCTGAAATTGAATATTAGGTTAATCATAAATTTCCCCTAGGGGGTGTTATGTCAGCATATTTCATTCACTGATTGCTGACAACTTATGTACTTGTGTGGACTTAAAAGTCCGCTTATCGCCGGGGTTTATGATAAGTGACTAACTCGTAACTTCAACTCAACTGCGCAGTCAATAGTAGTACATCATGAGTTAGAACACTTACCTGGGTATATGTGTCTGACCCATCGTTATGCCCGGATATCCAATGAGTTGATTGAAGAATAGTGTTCTTTGAAGAATGTTGCACTACACTCTGTTGGATCGCAACACTCATTGTTACACTGTTCATCAACAACTGTTCACACAATATCACTAAGAAGTTGATCACACTTCTCTGTAAGTCTTTATCGTGTTTTGTGAGACACTTTGTTCACACTAACACACGGATCAGTGTTCTTTGTTGGTTATCCTGGCGTCAGTGTGACTCTCAGCAGAGTCAAAAGTAATCTGAAGACGCCACAGCCTCTTACACCGTCACTGCCCCTAGCACATAAAGGAAAAGCTGACCTAGTACTTTTTGCTTCCTTGCCACTTCCTCCATGAAGCAAAGCAGAATGTTTGATTCTTGCTGTCTTAAGCATAGACAACAATGTACACTATCTTTATCATGGTAATAAAGTGGGAGCAGGATTTTCCATAATTATCCTGCTAAGGTAAGAGATGGACTGTCTTTTATTAAATTACACTTTGCAATGCTGGAGTCTTGCAAGGAGCAGCAGTTGCTTGACCACATCTGGGATCAATTACTTGTTGTAGCAGTAAACAAGATGCTTGCCCCTTCTGAGAGAGCTGGGCCCCTCAGGGCTGAAAGGGGCTGTAAGGGGCTGAAGGGGACTGATACCCCCCTCCTGGAGAAAATTTCTCCACAGAATTCCATGAGTCTGGGTCTGGGGCAGAGTGCATGGGCATGTCATTTATCGCCTTTTCGAAGTCATTTGGAGGCAGGATAATATCAGATAAGTGTGTGTCTACCAACTTCTGTCTCTCTCTCTCATAAAAAAATTCATTTAGGTTTTCGACTCTCAGACTGGTTAGTGGCTCGCTAAAAACCAAGTCATACTGGGACTTGAGCAGTTCACTCATTCCTTTGCTGTCATCTGTGTAGGACTCATCTCGTTTAAGCAGCGACCCAATACTGGATGTTGTTCTAGACTTTGATTTGGCATAAGAAAAGGAATACTTTGGGGTTCTTACAATTTCATTTATGGCTTTTAGTTCTTCTCGAGTTTCTTGACTCCTATAAGATTCCATTAGCTTTTGTTCGATGTTTGCTATTTCTCTGACCAGTGTCTCCCTACGTATTGCAGATATATTGACCTCTTGCAGCCGTTCTGTTATTCTTTGCCTTCACCTGTATAGGGAGCGTCTTTCTCTTTCTAGTTTACATCTTCTCCTCCTTTTCCTTAAGGGAATATGCCTTGAGCATACCTCAAGTGCCACAGAGTTAATTTGTTCTAGACATAGGGTAGGATCCGTGTTGCTTAGTCTACCTTCCCAGTTCATATCATTTAGGACTTGGTTTACTTGGTCCCACCTTAAGTTTTTGTTATTGAAGTTGAATTTGGTGAAGGTTCCCTCGTGACTGATCATATTTTGTCGGTCAGGGGCTCCCCGCATACATGTCTGGACCTCTATTATATTGTGATCTGAGTATATTGTTTGTGATATGATGACATTTCGTATCAAATCATCATTGTTAGTGAATATGAGGTCCAGCATATTCTCCAATATTGTAAACAGTAACCAGGTGATATCACAATATTCAGAACAACCACTGTGAAAAAATATTGAAATTCCAAGCACTTTCGCAACTTCTCTATTTCTTCACAGTGGTTGTTCTGCATATTGTGATATCACCTGTTTACTGTGATCTTATTGTATATATATATATATATATATATATATATATATATATATATATATATATATATATATATATATATATATATATATATATATATATATATATATATATATATATATATATATATATTACCATATGTAGACAGCCTGTACTGTCAGAGCACACAGCCTAGCCGTCTGCTCTGACTAGTTCATATTTCGCGGCATTCAGTGCTGCCCTCTGTAGGCCTACCTAGGTCGGTGGGAAGCACAGACCACCCTCTCTCACTCCTCGACCGACCGACGTGTTAGTCACAGGTGCTCCCCCTCCACGGACTGGCTTGCGGTCACTCCCTCACACTGCCCGTTGTGTACTCACTCCTACCCAATTAAAGCCAATCTAGTCCACGGCCGTATCATTGCTACCTACGCTACCTTCATCGGCACTAAACCGCTGTTCAGCAGTAAGAACAGCAATAACAGTGGTGACAGCGGAGTCAGCGGCATTGTGAGCCTCTTCAGGGTGGAGGGGTCAACACCATCGGTCGACGCCAGTCAACATCATCCGTCGTCATCCAACGCACCTGCTGGCCTAAAGAGTTATCTGTTACTCCCAGCGTCTTGACGGGACCTGAGATAGATCTTCGTCCTAGATTTTTCCCACAAAATCTGGACATAGGCGTCACGGCGTCATCTCCAGCCTTAGCAGTCACGTGTTCACCTCATCACCCTCTCTCACTCCTGGACCGACCGACTTGACGTACACAAGTACTCCCCCTCCACGGACTGGCTTGCGGTCACTCCCTCACACTGCCCGTTGTGTACTCACTCCTACCCGATTAAAGCCAAACTAGTCCCCGGCCGTATCATTGCTACCTATGCTACCTTCATCGGCACTAAACCGCTGTTCAACAGTAAGAACAGCAATAACATATATTTATATATATATATATATATATATATATATATATATATATATATATATATATATATATATATATATATATATATATGTATTATGTAGATAAAGTCAAAAACAGGTGATCAGGATATTCAATTAAACCATGGTAGGTGGAAACAGAAAAATAGAACTTGAAACCTTTCGATTCCTAACTCAATTTTCTTCACAAGCTGTTCCGAGGATCAGGTGACTGGTAGACATAGAGGGGCACGTCTCTAAATTTTTAGCTCTCTGGTGTTTATTGCACAAATATGTGCCAATAATCTCACAACTGTTCAGTTTTAAATCAAATTTACTCTCCCTCCGGCTAGTGAGACGTCGGAGAGCTTGAGATATGTAGTGGAGTCGCAGCACCCGAAAGTACCCATGCCCTACACTCCATTCGCACAATATATTTTCTCCGAGATTCATAAGTGGTCGCATAAAACTGCTATTGTAAGTATTATTGTTTTTTGTTTTGTTTTTTATATGCCGTTATGTGACATTTTCTTAACGATTACAAATAAAATATATTTTATTCCACAAGATTTAGTTCAAGTTTTGACTGATAATCTTCACGTACTAGTTAAAATAATTTTTCTTCCTAGCAAAATTATTTATTAACTAGTTGGCCTGAGCTGCAGGTAAAACAGTTTCTTTTTTTTTTTGCGCAGGAATGCGGGATTACAGGCAGAAGATACACTTATGGAAAGTTGTTAGACGGAGTCATGAGATTTGGTGGGATGCTTCAGCAGCTCATTAGAGATAACTCAGAAGTTTCAGACCCCACTAAACTGATAGTGGCCATCTTGTCGCCCAACTCTCCGGAGTACCCTGTGGTTTTCATGGGTACCTTGGCTGTTAGTGCAGTCGCTACCACCATCAATCCCACCTACACCCCCGGTGAGTTGGGTGCTTAGGTTTAAAACCTTTCAACTGCACGTACATCAACATTTAAATTTTATGAATAAGGTAACCTCTCTCTCTCTCTCTCTCTCTTTTTTTTTTTTTTTTTTTTTTTTTTTTTTTTTTTTTTTTTTTTTTTTTTTTTTTTACACAGGGTTTGACAAGGTTAAGGATCCCTAGCTTTATTGACAGCTATTTACAGGTTAAGGATTCCTAACTTTATTGGCAAGCTAAGAGCTGTTACCTACATCAGCTCATTTGAAAGCATTTTTATTGTTATGAGACATACAAATAGGGAACAGGATGAAGTTGGAGCCATCTGTGGGCCAGCATTTTCATTTGATCAACTGACGTTATCTCGTTGACATCATTATGCTGTACGAATGTGTTCCATACTCGAGTCATCCTGGGTATGTATGATCTCAGATGGAGTGATGTTCTGGAGAAGGGTACAGACAAGAGTGAAGTTTGCTGCTTTCTGCCCGTCTTGTGGCATAAAAGCTTGTTTCACGCTGTCCTCGAAGTGGATCCAAGTGTGCTATTTTGACAATATTGGCCTTGTACATAACAGTAAGGCCACCCACATCCCTCCTATGTTGAAGGCTCTGCTGAAATGACAGATCTATCCAGGATGGGTCCAGGCGAGAGATGAGACGTCTTGCTCTGTTCTCTACTCTGTCAAGCAGTCGCAGATGAGAGGGGGGGCAGGCAAACCAAGAAAGTGGAGCATACTCAAGGTGTGAGCGTACTTGTGCCTCGTACAGGATCTTGCAACCCCTACTGTCAAGCAGATGCGAGATACGGCGAAGTGCTGTAAGCTTCCTGGCTGCCTTGTTTGCAGATTTACAACATGGTTCTTCATGGTTAGTTTGGAGTCAAATTTCACCCCAAGGATATCACTTCTTCTCCAGGTGCCAACATCGTCCCATTCATCCTTACTACTGCACCAGCATTACCATCATGATGCCTAGAGACGATCATCATTTGCGTTTTCTCAGGTGCAAATGTACTTGCCATCTATTTCCCCAAGCTGATATAGCTCTCAGCTGGTGATTGATGTAGCTTAGAGCAGCTGGCATTTCTTCTCTTGGATAAGTTATGTCAGTGTACAGTCGTCTGCATATGCATGTGATTCTGGGATGAGATGAGAAGGTCGTTGAAGTAGACATTCCATAACAGTGGACCCAGCACACTTCCTTGTGGAACGCTTGCCCCAATAGGATGCCTTGCTGATTCCGTTCCATTGAGGACTACACTTAGAGATCTACCATGAAGGTAATCACTGAGGAGACATAGCGTAGAGCCTGCAGTTCCCAGTGCTTGAAGTTTTGCTAAGAGGCCCTGGTGCCACACCCGGTCGAAAGCGCCAGCAATGTCCAGTGCTACCACACAGCTGACTTTGGATTCATCCAGTGACTGGTGCCACTTAGTGGAGAGGTTTAACAACAGATTTACTGGGAAATAATTTCTCTCTTTCCTACATACTCTAACTTGAGCCTCACTGTCCTCATAAAAACTCTTCACTGCTTTCAGTAACCTACCTCCTATACCATACACCTGCAACATCTGCCACATTGCCCCCCTATCCACTCTGTCATACGCCTTTTCCAAATCCATAAATGCCACAAAGACCTCTTTAGCCTTATCTAAATACTGTTCGCTTATATGTTTCACTGTAAGCACCTGGTCCACACACCCCCTACCTTTCCTAAAGCCTCCTTGTTCATCTGCTACCCTTTTTCCCTCATCTTACTCTTAATTCTTTCAATAATAACTCTACCAAAACACTTTACCAGATATACTCAACAGACTTATCCCTAAAATTTTTTTGCACTCTCTTTTGTCCCCTTTTGCCTTTTTTACAAAGGAACTATGCATGCTCTTTTGCCAGTCCCTAGGTACCTTACCCTTTCCATACATTTATTAAATAATAGCACCAACCACTCCAAAACTATATCCCCACTGCTTTTAACATTTCTATCTTTATCCCATCAATCCCCGGGTGCCTTACCCCCTTCATTTTACCTACTGCCTCCGAAAATTCCCCCACACTCACAACTGGCTCTTCCTCACTCCTACAAGATGTTATTTCTCCTTGCCCTATACACGAAATCACAGCTTCCCTATCTTCATCAACATTTAACAATTCCTCAAATATTCCCTCCATCTTCCCCAAAACCCCCTAACTCTCCATTTAATAACTCTCCTCTCCTATTTTTAATGACAAATCCATTGTTCTCTAGGCTTCCTTAACTTGTTAATCTCACTCCAAAACTTTTTCTTATTTCAACAAAATTTGTTCATAACATTCACCCACTTTTCTCATTTGCTCTCTTTTTTACATTGCTTCAAACCCTCTCTTAAACCTTCTCTTGTTCTCCATATACTTTCCCTCCTTGCATCTCTTCTACTTTGTAAAAACTTTCATATTCTAACTTTTTCTCCCTTACTACTCTCTTAAAATCATCATTTTCCAAACCCAAACGCTCCTCTTCCCTCCCCCACCCCCCTTTCCTGTAACCACAAACTTTGTGAACACTCTAACACTACATTTTTAAACCTACCCCATACCTCTTCGACCCATTGCCCGTGCTCTCACTCTCTCTCTCTCTCTCTCTCTCTCTCCCCTTTTCTCTCTCTCTTCTCTTTTCTTCTCTCTTCCCCTCTCTCTCTTCTCTCTTCTCTCTCTCTCTCTCTCTCTTCTCTCTCTCTCTCTCTCTCTCTCTCTCTCTCTCTCTCTCTCTTTTACCAGGGTTATACATGGTTAGCTTAAGGTTCCTAACTCGATTTACAAGAACTGTAGGTTGGTAGACAGCAACCACCCAGGGAAGTACTACCGTCCTGCCAGATGACTGTGAAACAGAAACCTGTAACTGTTTTGCATGATGGTAAGATTGCTGGTTTCTTTTTCTGTCTCATAAACACGCTAGATAACAGGGATATCTTGCTACTCCTACTTACACTTTAGTCACACTTCACAGACACGCACATGCATATATATATATATATATATATATATATATATATATATATATATATATATATATATATATATATATATATATATATATATATTATATATATATATATGTATATATATATATATATATATATATATATATATATATATATATATTTATATATAAATATATATAATATATATATATACATACATCTAGGTTTTTTCTCCTTTTTCTAAATAGCTCTTGTTCTTCTTTATTTCTTCTATTGTCCATGGGGAAGTGGAAAAGAATCTTTCCTCCATAAGCCATGCGTGTCGCATGAGGCGACTAGAATGCCGGGAGCAATTGGCTAGTAACCCCTTCTCCTGTAGACATTTACTAAAAAAGAGAAGAAGAAAAACTTTATAAAACTGGGATGCTTGAATGTGCGTGGATGTAGTGCGGATGACAAGAAACAGATGATTGCTGATGTTATGAATGAAAAGAAGTTGGATGTCCTAGCCCTAAGCAAAACAAAGCTGAAAGGGGTAGGGGAGTTTTGGTGGGGGGAAATAAATGGGATTAAATCTGGAGTATCTGAGAGAGTTAGAGCAAAGGAAGGGGTAGCAGTAATGTTGAAGGATCAGTTATGGAAGGAGAAAAGAGAATTTGAATGTGTAAATTCAAGAATTATGTGGATTAAAGTAAAGGTTGGATGCGAAAAGTGGGTCATAATAAGTGTGTATGCACCTGGAGAAGAGAGGAATGTAGAGGAGAGAGAGAGATTCTGGGAGATGTTAAGTGAATGTATAGGAGCCTTTGAACCAAGTGAGAGAGTAATTGTGGTAGGGGATCTGAATGCTAAAGTAGGAGAAACTTTTAGAGAGGGTGTGGTAGGTAACTTTGGGGTGCCAGGTGTAAATGATAATGGGAGCCCTTTGATTGAACTTTGTATAGAAAGGGGTTTAGTTATAGGTAATACATATTTTAAGAAAAAGAGGATAAATAAGTATACAAGATATGATGTAGGGCTAAATGACAACAGTAGTAGTTTGTTGGATTATGTATTGGTAGATAAAAGACTGTTGAGTAGACTTCAGGATGTACATGTTTATAGAGGGGCCACAGATATATCAGATCACTTTCTAGTTGTAGCTACACCGTGAATAAAAGGTAGATGGGATACAAGGAGAATAGGAGCATCAGGGAAGAGAGAGGTGAAGGTTTATAAACTAAAAGAGGAGGCAGTTAGGGTAAGATATAAACAGTTATTGGAGGATAGATGGGCTAATGAGAGCACAGGCAATGGGGTCGAAGAGGTATGGGGTAGGTTTAAAAATGTAGTGTTAGAGTGTTCAGCAAAAGTTTGTGGTTACAGGAAAGTGGGTGCGGGAGGGAAGAGGAGCGATTGGTGGAATGATGATGTAAAGAGAGTAGTAAGGGAGAAAAAGTTAGCATATGAGAAGTTTTTACAAAGTAGAAGAGATGCAAGGAGGGAAGAGTATATGGAGAACAAGAGAGAGGTTAAGAGAGTGGTGAAGCAATGTAAAAAGAGAGCAAATGAGAGAGTGGGTGAGATGTTATGAACAAATTTTGTTGAAAATAAGAAAAAGTTTTGGAGTGAGATTAACAAGTTAAGGAAGCCTAGAGAACAAATGGATTTGTCAGTTAAAAATAGGAGAGGAGAGTTATTAAATGGAGAGTTAGAGGTATTGGGAAGATGGAGGGAATATTTTGAGAAATTGTTAAATGTTGATGAAGATAGGGAAGCTGTGATTTCGTGTATAGGGCAAGGAGGAATAACATCTTGTAGGAGTGAGGAAGAGCCAGTTGTGAGTGTGGGGGAAGTTCGTGAGGCAGTAGGTAAAATGAAAGGGGGTAAGGCAGCCGGGATTGATGGGATAAAGATAGAAATGTTAAAAGCAGGTGGGGATATAGTTTTGGAGTGGTTGGTGCTATTATTTAATAAATGTATGGAAGAGGGTAAGGTACCTAGGGATTGGCAGAGAGCATGCATAGTTCCTTTGTATAAAGGCAAAGGGGACAAAAGAGAGT